GAGTCCGTTTCCAGGGAACACAGCCTCAGGCACCACCCCAACTTCTTTGCTGAGTAAATGCCTATCTCTCAATAGCAAATAAGTTGTATCTCCCTGAGGTTAATTCTGATCCTCACATGTTAAGTCAAATCCTCCTTGGAGAGCCCCGTGTACCACATCTTCACAGCATTTATCATAATTGAAATTTTACATTCATTCAAATGATTACTAAGTTCTATCTCTCCCCTACTAGACCCTAAGCTCCATGTGGGCAGAAAACCATGTCCATTTTTAGCTCATCATTCTATCCCTCATGTTTAACTCAGTCCTGGAAAATGCTCAATAAGCATATGTTGAATGATTCATTGAGTGAATGAATGAATGACTGCCTTTTCAATGAAGGAATGTCAAAATAATTCCAAGACTGTTGTGAAGATTTTTGAATACTCTTAATAGTGGTAAATACTTTGAAAATGGACTTGAAATGGACTTCTTCTTTTTAAAAAAAATATATATTTATTGATTTCAGAGAGGAAGGGAGAGGGAGAGAGATAGAAACATCAAATATGAGAGAGAATCATCAATCAGCTGCCTCCTGCATGCCCCACACTGGGGATTGAGCCAGCAACCCAGGCATATACCCTGACCGGAAATTGAACTGTGATCTCCTGGTTCATAGGTTGACGCTCAACCACTGAGCCATGCTGGCTGGGCTAGACTTGACGTTTTTGTAGTGGTCCAGTTTCTAGGCCCTGGCTGGGTAACTCAATTGGTTAGAGCATCGTCCCAATATGCCAAGATTGCAGGTTTGATCCCTGGTCAGGGCACATGCAGGAACTAACCAATGAATGCATAAATAAGTGGAACAACAAATCACTGTCTCTCCCTTCCTCTTGATCTCTAAAATCAGTTTTTAAAAAAAGTTAGTAGGAACTGAATTTAGTTAATAATGGTTGTGATAATTTTGGTGGAGACCATGAAGTAACCAGAATGCCTCTCCTATGTGGCTCTTAAACTGTTACTCAGAAGTAAATTTCAAAAAGAAAAAAATTTGGTGCAGGGTCCTAATGGTTGTGATGTCTGTAGGTGTTAAGTTCTGATGATATATTCAGAAATCTCTTAAAAATCACTTACTCAGTATGTCTCTAGCACTGTGTTCAGTATAATAAAGGCTTAAAAATAAGTATAATAGTGCCCAGCCTCTGTCACCCACTATCCTTCTGAATGTAAGGAGTTGGTCAGAGGCTTTAAGGCAGAACAAGGTAACCAAACGTGTAAAAGCTTTGGGGTCATTATTCTAACTTCCTTTCCAGTCTTGACTAAATAACAAGTTCTAAGGACCCACGTTCCATAAAACCTGAAGGTCACCGTTGCCCACATTGAATGCTGAATCTGGAAAGTCCCAGCATGAGCCCCGCTGCCCAATGTTCCTATGATATTTTCCTGGAGTCTCTAAAAGGTGCTATGAGTTCGTTTTATTGTGTGCATGTAGACGTCAGCTGAGAACAGGCAGGGGTGCTTATCACATTTATTACAAGTGAGTTTAGTCAGTGGCTGGGACCACGTTTAATGATATTGTGTCGCTGTGTGGGAGGCTAGGTCTGAGACATAGTGCGGGTGTATGTGGGGGTGCTAGTCTTCTGAAGTCTTAACTCTGTCAGTGGTTCAACTAGGCTTGTGGTTGGTGTCCATATCAGACCAGACCGAGGGAGAGATGCTAATGCCATCACGTGCACTTATTCTGTCTGAGTTTTCCAGAGTGGAGAGCCTTTTACAGCATTAAAGACTATAGGCCATGTCTGCCCTGTGTGGGAACTTAACAAGGTGGAGTCAAAACTGTAAGTGCTCTTGATCTGACATATCTGGTTCCTATCACGTATTAGTGATGTGGCTTTGGGTGAGTAACTTGACCTCTCTGAGTCTCAATTTTTCTTTCTTAAAAAAAAAAAAAGTGTTTTGCCCTAACTGGTTTGGCTCAGTGGATAGAGCATCAGCCTGCGGACTGAAAGGTCCCAGGTTCGATTCCGGTCAAGGGCATGTACCTTGGTTGCGGGCACATCCCCAGTAGGAGGTGTGCAGGAGGCAGCTGATTGATGTTTCTCTCTCATCGATGTTTCTAACTCTCTATCCCTCTCTGTAAAAAATCAATAAAAAAATATATTTAAAAAGTGTTTTTATTGATTTCAGAAAGGAAGGGAGAAGGAGAGATAGAAACATCAATGCTGAGAGAGAATCATTGATTGGCTGCCTCCTACATGCCCCCACTGGGGATCGAGCCCACAACCCGGTCATGTGCTCTGACCAGGAACTAACTGTGACCTTCTGGTTCATAGGTTGACATTCAAGCACTGAGCCACGCCAGTTGGGCTCAATTTTTCCATCTGTAAAATGGAGCCAATACTGGTCCCTATCTCATAGAAGCTTTTGTAAAGGATCTAGATCCCATTACTCCTTGATTAAGAGGTCAGAAAGCTTCTGAACTTTTTAAACCATTGAGGTAACAGCAGTTATTAGAGGCACCCACTGTTTTTGCCTAACTGACATTTACTTCCTTCCCATTCTTTTCCATCCTGATTTTCCCTTGGAGAATGCATTTCTCTTTTGTCAGTTCACGAGATTTAGATGGGCAGACCTTCTCTCTGGCTCCTGGGAACAGCAGTGATCTATCTCATCCTGGCCAGTGGAATTGGTTTTGGTTGGGCATGTGACCTAAGTTATCCACTGAGGGTCTTCCCTGGGAATTGTGAAGGAACATCTCCACCTGCCTGTCACACAGGTGCCTCATATGCAATACAATCACAGTTGAACTTGCCAGCTTTCCCACAGTTCTGCTCCTCCTTCTGATCACTGGAGCTAGAGACCCCCTCCTCACCGCCCCCCCCCCCCCTCCAGCTTACTGTCCCTTACCCTGAACTCCCACCGGGTCTCTTTCCAATACCTCCAATTTACAGCCACTGCTTCAGTCCTACTGGCTTATGTAGGCCTACATCATCCCTTCTTGGGCCTTGAATTGCTTCTCTGCCTCTCATCTACCTTCCAAATTGGTCTTTTAAACATGCAAATTGACTCATGTCATTCCCTTCTTAAAACCCTACAATGGCTTCTTGCTCCCACAGGAAAGCATTCCAATGCCCTTGAATGATACTAAGTCAGTGATGGCGAACCTATGACACGCGTGTCAGAGGTGACACACGAACTCATTTTTTTGGTTGATTTTTCTTTGTTAAATGGCATTTAAATATATAAAATAAATATCAAAAATATAAGTCTTTGTTTTACTATGGTTGCAAATATAAAAAAATTTCTATATGTGACACGGCACCAGAGTTAAGTTAGGGTTTTTCAAAATGCTGACACGCCGAGCTCAAAAGGTTCACCATCACTGTACTAAGTCCTACACATCTTGTCAAAACCTTACAGCCACATACAATCAATGACTTGCAATTTCTAAAACTTGCCATGATTTTCCTCACTTCCTTGCCTGACTGCTTTCTCTGCCTCGTAAACTAAAAACTGTGTAAAAACAAAGTTTTAATTGAATATTTTAAAAATGTGCCTTGGGCCCTTGTCTTCCTGGGGAATCTCCCACCTTTGTTCACAGAAACTCAGTGGTAAAGACCTGTCAGAATTCCAGAGACTTTGTATTGTTTACTTTAAAAAATTGCTTAATTACATATAACTAGAGGCCCAGTGCATGAAATTTGTACACTGGGGGAGGGGGATGTCCCTCAGCCTGGCCTGTGCCCTCTTGCAGTCTGGGACCCCTCAGGGGATGTCTGCCTGCTGGCTTAGGCCTGAGTCCCCTGGGTATCAGGCCTAAGCCGGCAGTCAGACATCCCTCTTGCAGTCCGGAGTTCTCGCAGTCCGGGGCTCTCGCAGTCCAGGACCCCTCGCTCCTTACTGCCCACCTGCAGCGGAGGCAGGAGAGGCTCCTGCCACCGCCGCTGCGCTCGCCAGCCGTGAGCCCAGCTTCTGGCTGAGCGGTGCTCCCCCTGTGGAAGCACACTGACCACCAGGGGACAGCTCCTGCATCAAGCGTCTGCCCCCTGGTGGTCAGTGCATGTCATAGCAACTGATTTGTATATTAGGGTTTTATTATATAGGATTTCACCCTCCCCTTTTTAAAATCCTCATCCAAGGAGTGAGGATATTTTTTTTCCATTGATTTTTAGAAAGAGTGGAAGGGAGGGGAGGTGGGGAGAGGGAGAGAGAGGAGAGAGAAAGAGAGAGAAACATCAATGTGAGAGGACACATTGATTGGCTCCCTCCTGCACTTGCCCCAATTGGGGGTGGGGGTCGACTCTGCAACTGAGGTACATGCCCTTGACTAGGAATCAAACCTGAAACCCTCCAGTGTGCAGGCCGATGCTCTAACTGCTGCCCAGGGCTAATTCTCTTTTTAATCAAAGAATTCTCTGCAAGCCACTTTCACCAAAATTGATCAAAATACACATCAGTTGCCTTTGTTCTCTTTTATATACTTCATTTCAAATTTCATCTTCATGTAATATAAAACATTTCCCCATTCCACACTCAACAGACAAGGCCATATTTAATTCAACATGCTAAGAGTTAGGGGTTTCTTCTTTTTGTCTCATCCTATTGAAGTTTACCTGCAAAAATTCTCGAATTTTAGGGTCCAGTCCCTGGAATTTTAGGGCCCAGCCCCTCATTTTCCAGAAAAGAAACCCAAGGCTCTATTGACTCAGGAACATGGCACCAGGAAGTTGGTTATCAGTGGAAGAAACCCAGGCCCTGATGTTGGACTCAGCATGGACTATCTCCAACTCACCAAGAAGGCTCCCCTCAGCCTCCATCGAGAGAAGAGCTAAGTCGCCCCCAAATAACCAGTTAAGCTAATCCTCTTACACCACTCCACTTAGGCAAGATGACAACCTAAGGGCTTTAGGGAAAAGGAAATTAGAAGGATTAAGTCCAAGGCTCTGTTTGCCCTGGGAATAGAACAGCCCTCTCCTCTCCAACTCTGTGCCCCACCTTACGGGCAGAGGAGAGCCACTCACCTTCTGGGTGACAGGCCTGCCATCCTGGATCTGCATGGCCAGCCCCAGGTCGGACAGCCTGCAGTTGCCAACGTCGTCCAGGAGCACGTTCTCAGGCTTCAGGTCCCGGTAGACGATGCCGAGAGAGTGCAGGTGCAGCAGCCCGCAGGTCATCTGGGCCGAGTAGAAGACCACCCTGCTCATGGCCAGGCCGCGGGTGCCCACGCTGTAGATGTGGAACTTGAGGTCTCCCCCGTTCATCAGGCTCATGACCAGGCAGAGGTGGGACTTGCTCTCAAAGGCGTAGGCCAGGGAGACAATGAAAGGGCTGCTGATCCTCTCCAAGATCTCCTTTTCCAACAGAGCCATTTTCTCACCATTTTTCTTCTTCAGCCGCTTCTTGTCCAGCTTCTTACAGGCATACATCTTACCAGTGTTTTTCACCTGGACAGCACATACCTAAAAGGAGAGAAAGAGAGGGAGAGGAAGAAGTAGGACACAGTGGAGGGGCGGGGGGAGGATATGGAAGGTGGAGGGGTAGAAATCAGCCAAAGTGAACAGGCGGCAGGCGTCTGAGAAAAGAGAAGCTGTAACTGAGAAATGTTCTTCCAGAAAGAGCTGGGATCACAATGAGGTACCACTGCACCCCACTGTACTGACAAAAGGGAAGATAACAAGTGTTGGTGAGGATGCGAGGACACTGGCACCCTTGTGCATTGCTGGGGGGGGATGTAGAATATAAACGTTTGGTGGTTCCTCCAAAAGTGCTCAGAGTGGTACTGTTCACAATAGCCAGAAGGTAGAAACAACCCAGGTGCCCACAATGGATGGCTGGATAAATGAAATGACATACCCATGCAATCACATATTATCCAGCCCCGGAAAGAAATAATACATGCTACAACATGGATGAACCTCCAAAAATTATGCCCAGTGAAAGAAGCCAGACACCAAAGGTTACAGATCGTCGGATTCCATTTATATGAAACATCAGAACAGGCAAATCCACAGAGACAGGGAGCAGACCAGCTGTTGCCAGGGACAGGGAGGAGGGGGGATGGGGAGTGACAGGAAGGAGGGAGATATCCTGTAGAGGTGATGGTTATACAACATCGTAATGTACTGAATGCTACTGAACTGTACACTTTAAAATGGTTAATTTTGTTATGTGATTTTACCTCATCTATGGTTAATGGTTAATTTTAATCTTATGTAAATTTTACCTCAAAAACATTTGTTTTCTACTTAAAAAAAGAGTGAGCACAGCAGTGGTGCACAATGAATTCTCCACTTTACCTTAAGATGAGTGTTTTCTCAGATCTCTGCAGTTTGTCTCAAATTCCACCCCCACCCCTTTACCACCGCTAAGGGGAACAGGGGCTCTCCATCACCTGCTGCCATTCTCCACAATGTCCGGGGCACTGAGGGGGTGCCTGGTGTGCACCCCAAGAGGAAGATTCTTGGCCAGTCCACATTTTATTTGTCTTTCCTATGCCATCTCATTTTATTTCACACGGTGACGGGGAAGGAGAGGTGAGAGCAAGCTAGGAATTTGCCACAGGTGGCATGAAATGAGTTTTAAGGAAGTTCCCTTGAAATTAAAATTTAAAAAAAAGGCAAAACAAAGCAAACCCCTTTATGCAGTATCCTTCAGCTTCCAACCTGGCTGTTCTGAGACGCTTACCTCCCCAAAGCCACCTTTCCCCAGCACGCGGAACTCGGTGAAGTACTTGTCCGACACGGGCTGCATCTCAAAGACCTTCCACCGCAGAAACTGGTCATAGAAGGGGCTGGCCAGGAAGTCCCTGAAGGGCTGGCCCTGCAGGAAGGCCATGGCCTCCGCCCGGGCCAGCGCCACCAGGGCTGCCCGCTCGTCCTCAGTAGTGGCTGCCAGGCACCTGGCGCTCAG